CCACGGACAAACGGACGGAAGCATGATCGGAAGCACGGATGCACAGAGGTCAAAACATAAGTCCCCGTTTTCGGACTGTGTTCGAACGGGGACTAATAAATATAAATGGCGTAAACGACGAGTGAATACAAAAGTCCTGTGACCACGAAATCCCAACAGACTTGCCGTCACTGTAAGCACCCTCACAATGCATACACTTCAATAAAAATAGAGAGGTATTATTCCGAGAGTGCAATGAAGACATTGAAAATATAAATAATAACACATGCATCTTCTCTAAAATCAACAGTGAAAATAACAGCATACCTCTGTCAAAATTTAAAAAAAAAAAAATATTTAAGCCAAAATAAACATTTTTAATCACTTCACCTATGGGGGGTGGGGGGTGGAACTAAATTACCAGTACTTTATTTAGATCAGTTTTTGTTTTAATTGTATTCATTCTAGTTATTTTTTAATTCAGTCTTTATTTTATACTTATTTTCTATTATTGTATTGTACTGTATTGTATTGTATTTAGAATTGTACTAGTCTTTTTTATTTACCATAATGAACCCGTTGATGGTTCGGTAGTGTAATAAAGTTATTATTATTACCAGCCAGATTTGGCCGTGTAAATTCTATATACGTTTCCTGGAGCAGAGGACTATAACAATAAACCAGACCTCGCACGTGCCTGTGCTAAGTTATCAAAGGACTTTTGCATTCACCCGTCATTTACGCAATTTATATTTATTTTTTCAAGAACTTTTCATCAGAATCGCAACAGACTGCAAGCAAGTCTATGAAACAAAGGACATGATAACATAATGCTTTTTAAAACTTGAAATATTCAAAATCATGAATTACTATACACACAATTAAACTGACTTGTCTGTTTCAGTGACATTGTATACATCCATCCAATTCATTTTGATATCACAGGCAATGACATTGATCATTTCTGTAGTTTCAAAACTGTTTCACATGCAGTTACTTACATCAAGTACAGTCAATGCTGATAACTGGTTAATATCATTGGATATTTCTTGCAATTTATTAGATGCTAGTATTAATTTGACGAGTTCGACTTGATCCCACCATCTATCCTCAGCATCATCCAGGGAAACCGACCTAGCTTCTTCCGGTACATCAATATTAATCCTCCACACCTGACTGGGAACTAAATAAACAATATACGTAAAACACCACAGTCACCAAGGGTATTTCTCGAAGAAAAAACTGCAGAAGGGAGCACTGCATTTCAGCGGCACCACCAATTGAGAATTCTAAGTTAAAATGGAGCATTCTATGGCTTCCTTGGGGCCAAAATTACTATCAGACAGGTCACAGTTGAAGACTGTTGCCACATGTGATCATTGGTCAATCAGAATTTTGTGTTTGCCAGAGCATCTGCTCCCCAGGGTAAGGGGGTGCATGGCCATGGCATGAGGGCGCTGTGCATCTGTTCCATTGTTTAAAAAAATCCCTGATAGTCACCACACTAAAAATGAGTTACTGTATCTGCTTGAACACGGTTACTAGGTTATAGTAACCATGATTAGAAGAGCACATGATTGATTGATTGATTGATTGATTGATTGATTGATTGATTGATTGATAAATAGATAGAACAATTGATAGATATTTTATTTGATAGGTATTTTATTTGACACAAAATTTAGTATGAATAAAAAAACATACACTAAATCAATGTAAACAAAGTGTTGCATGTATTGTGTATTACGTTATTAAAATATGACTTCAATAGATATGCATTGTGCTAATAAAGCAAACACGATACATACAAGTTACAAGATGTAAATGAATTTGAATGTATTTATATACGTTAAATATGACACAGAATGATGACTGTAGCATTTTAACAGCAAAATAAATCACAAGATTTTTTTAAACAAGGGAGCAAGGGCGCAGCGCCCTCATGCCATTGCCAAGCCATGGGGAGCAGATCCTCTGGCAACCATAAAATTCTGATTGACTAGTGATCACAAGTCTTCAACTGTGACCTGCCTGATAGTATTTTTGGCCCCAAGGAAACCATAGAATGCTCCATTTTAACTTTAGAATCATCAAAAACTCACACCCTGGTAGAGAGAACCCCCCCCCCCCACACACACACACACACACACACACACTTGGTGGTGCCGCTGAATTGTAGTTTTTTCTCTTGCAGTTTTTTTCTAGAAAAACCCCTGAATCATCTTCCTTCCAATTGTGTTTCAGTGACGGTCAGAAAAGAACAAATTCTATAACCCTAGATCTTCAAATTGTGTCTCACTGTGGTGTAGCTGTTGGGTCAGAAGAGCTTGTAATCTTAGCCCCAATCTATTTTAACAATTATCAATATGATTGATTTGTTTCACACCCACAACTTGTGACTCGCCCACAGTCAAAAGTCAGTTGTTAACTTATAATGCAGATGACATTTTTGTAAAGTTTTTTGTGTCATTTCAAGAAACTTTGTCAACATCTGAGAAAATCTTACACTGTTCATAAATACTCTGACAAAGATTTTTTCGCGTTCAGGAGTGGGCAGATTTTATAGAGATGCTTGCAAGAAAATACTTTTATTTGATATTTTTTTTAGAAACACACAAATGGCAGTCAATTTCACTGAGAGATACTTCAAATTAAATTTCAATAACAATTAACACTATTAATATTTTGTTGTAGAGATTAATACAAGATCATTTGCATAACGGGGCAAATTTACTCAAAATTGTTATCCCTTTTAAACTACTATAATTACTATTGAAAAATACAAAACTATGTTGAAATATTATTTTATTCTAATTCACGACTATTGTGTGTAAAAATCAGTGATTAAATACTATATGGCATACATAGTGCACAATTTGTTGTCAGTAAACAACATTTTGTCAAAACAATCACTCACAATATTTCACGAAAAAACAAAACAAAACAAATTGGTTAATTTAAATTCTACCAGTCATGTTGATTTATAAAAATTTATATTTATAAAACTTTTATAACAACCGCAAAACATTTTCTAATGAGGTCTATGATTTAATCAAAACAAAACTATATTTGGTCACCAAAAATAGCGAAGTCAGAAAATCACACACATATAGAAATGACAAAGAATATAACTAAAATTTTTTGCAAAATTTATTTTCTATATTCTTGATATGTTTTAATACTGTAAGTTTTTGTTGTTCTGAATGTTTTGTTTTGTTATTGTTATTTTTGGACTTTACTCAAGTTTTCATTGGTACGTTCCAAATAAAAAATTCTATCTATCTATCTATCTATCTAACTAGATCAGACTTGTTATCATAAATAAGATCACTAAACAGAAAATTGAGCCAACCCAAACACATGCACACACAAACATAATAGTCACGGTTATTGCATTTTGTTCACACACGACGTATTTAAACAGCAAAGAGTTTTCTGCTCAATCCTGTGATACAGGTATTCATCATCTTCATGTAATTTTTCACACATTGGCGTAACGACCTGATGTTCGTATGGACGCTGAATTTTAGCTTGATGTCGGTCGACTCAGTGAACTGATTATATTATTTAGTAATTTAGTGATTGTATTTGTTATTTAGTATATTGTTTATATATATATATTTTCCTTGTACTTTGTGACCATTTTCTTTCCCTCCGGGGATTGTGTAAGAGTCAGTAAGTAAATAAAAATAAATAAATAAATATAAGGTGACTGACCTTCTGTCAGGTTACGATTCGAAATATTCAACTGTCCACTTCTTCTTGCCTGTTTTATCATAGCGGAAGGCACGCCCGATGTCGGCTGGTCTGGCTTCTGAAATCCAGCTCTTGGTTTAAATTTGCCTCCCCCTCTTCTTGACATTTTGTTGTCGGCTTAATTAAAAAGTTCTCCAGGAGAGTTTCATTCTCATAATATGGGAACTTTGAACCGAACGACCGGCCATTGAGGTCACGTTTTACGGCCTATAGAGGGCGCTGATCAATATTTCCGCCACCACGCGATCTTACAATTACGCACAGTCCTGTGAATTACGCAATACCTATATCACAATGATAAACACGTTTTAGCATCTAAACAAAAGCGCGAGAAACCACGAAAATTATATAACTGTTTTTCGACCATAAAAATGCAATCAACAGTGTATGGGACATAGGCACGTTCTAAAATTACTAAAATCCGGAATTACTGGCAATATATATAATATATCACAGATATGCACAGAAAAGTCAATTATAAAGTAAAGGTCAAGGGCGGATTAACTAAATCTTTCGCGCCTGCAACCTAAAACAAACTGCAACTAAAGCTTAATTAACTAATGTCCTAACGCAAATACAAATCATGTCACCCACATACTTTAAAGAGGGAGGGTTGTCACCTGCGCACGCGCGGGAATTGAGTCCCAAGTGACGATAACGATAACAACACACGCTCAATTCCTTTAGCACAATATTTAAAAAACTGTTTTAATACAAGACAGCAGCACCTACATAAACTAAGCCAGTAACACATTCTTTGTATACAAATTTTTATCTTTTTATGTAGTTATTTTTCTTTTACTTATATCTAATTTTTAACTCTTTTCATCCCCCCGGGAGATGTTCTGTGTTAATAAATAAATAGCTAACAAATGCTATGGCCAGAACTGACGCATGCGCAGGTGAAGGACCCCCCTCCGCTTTAAATGATAACAAAGTTAGCGGTATGCTATATGCATGTAATATTCAATCTACCTACACAAAGGGGTCGTAGTTAGTTGTCAATACAGACAAAACCAAAAATATCGGTTATTCGCAGATAATATCTTTCTCTATGAATGAAAAGAGGTAGTTAGACAATTTAGTTTTCAAAAGCCAAAAAGTAGTGTTCTTCTTAATAGGGCAAGTGAACCCCAAATCAAATCAAAACATAAAAATATTAATGTCTCTGTTTCAGAAACTTACTTACTTACGTCAGTGAGATGTGGGGACATGGAATTATGTAAAGATACTCATTTACATTTTCTGCAGATTCGTTCTGGGAGTGGAGTGGAGAGCTAGAGCAGCACACATTTCACGTTATCATACAGAAACAGATAATACTACAATATAATAAAGCGAAGAACTCTTCTAAAAAAATAGTGAAATAAATAGAAAATGGTTCAGTGCTATAATAACATAATTAGATAACTTCAATGAAACGTAGATAATAAATACAGACGATTTAAAGATTTAATCAGAACGGCACTCAACGCTAAAAAAGCAGTAGAACACAAAAAATGCAACCTTTGTACTGAGAAAAGAAATCAAAGATGAATATCACTTCACCATGTTATGCACTTCTTACAATGATAATGGAGAATCACTACATGAAGTTTGAATGGCAGATTTTAGAAATTGCATGACCCTAACCAGCAAATAACAATTCTATATAACGAAAATATTAACATAAACATAGATATACTTGATAGTTTTTTTTTTTTACTTTAAAATGTGATGTGTTCTATTTTTAATATAAACACCGCGATGAAGACATTTCGTTTTCAACATTGTGAAATTCTTTCGTTTTTATTCAAAAAAATACAGTCTTTATCCACAGTCAGTTGGCGCACGCGTGATAATAAAATAAATGCGACATTTACTATATGGGGGCCGCAAACTTGAATTTTATGCTGCATTCAAGATGGCGGCCAATCATGTTGTGGTGCATTTACCATGTTATGTAGTGCATTAATCATGTTATGTGGTGCATTCACTATGTTATGTAGTGCATTAATCATGTTATGTGGTGATTCAGCATGCTATGTAATGCATTAATCATGTTCTGTAGTGCATTAATCATGTTGTGTGGTGCATCCCCCATGTTATGTAGTGCATTAATAATGTTATGTGGTACATTCACCATGTTATGTAGTGCATTAATCATGCTATGTGGTGATTCAGCATGCTATGTAATGCGTTAATCATGTTCTGTAGTGCATTAATCATGTTGTGTGGTGCATTCCCCATGTTATGTAGTGCATTAATCATGTTATGTGGTACATTCACCATGTTATGTAGTGCATTAATCATGTTATGTGGTATATTCACCATGTTATGTAGTGCATTAATCATGTTATGTGGTGCATTCACCATGTTATGTAGTGCATGAATCACGTTGTGTGGTGCATTCCCCATGTTATGTAGTGCATTAATCACGTTGTGTGGTGCATTCCCCATGTTATGTAGTGCATTAATCATGTTATGTGATGCATTCACCATGTTATGTAGTGCATTAATCATGTTGTGTGGTGCATTCCCCATGTTATGTAGTGCATTAATCATGTTATGTGGTACATTCACCATATTATGTAGTGCATTAATCATGTTATGTGGTGTATTTACCATGTTATGTAGTGCATTAATCATGTTATGTGGTGCATTCACCATGTTTTGTAGTGCATTAATCATGTTATGTAATGCATTCACCATGTTTTGTAGTGCATTAATCATGTTATGTGGTGCATTCACCATGTTTTGTAGTGCATTAATCATGTTATGTATGCATTCACCATGTTCTGTAGTGCATTAATCATGTTATGTGGTGCATTCACCATGTGATGTAGTGCATTTGTCAAGTTGTGTGGTACATTTACCATGTTATGTAGTGTGTTTATCACATTGTGTGGTGCATTCACCATGTTATGTGGTGCATTTATCATATTATGGGATGCATGTTATATCGTGCAGACATTCTAAATGTGAGAGCATCAGTAGAATGGGGAGGTGGAGGATCATTTAACTATTTCCATTTAGGAATAAATATTTTACGTTTCTTGGATGGCGTTGATGTTTGTGCCACAGTTGGATTCTGTAATTAACAACAAATATAATTTATAGACACTATTATATGTCTTTTATATTGAGTCCTTGACTTTCCAATCCTAATTTTTGTTTTCAAACCAATAATAATACCCCTATTTCTCTAAGAGGGCTATAATCTTTTGACGAAATTTAATTAAAATAAAGCTAGTTTATTTTTTGGTTGGATCAGTTACAAATACTATTTACTTTATGATCGGAGCAAAAATGGCCGACTGGCGGCCATTTTGGATGTAAAAATTGCTATTTCTGATACCTAAACGTGTCCGCAGCAGTTTCTCGGAGATGACAGGGCCGATTTAACTTGGTATGATGATCATATATATTCGGTCATCTTGTTTTTCATGGTACTCATGCTACTTTATCTTGAATGCAATGAACGTTCGTTTAAATTTTGTACAAAGATAGTATACCAAGAGATACATCTGCACCAACATGTGATTTGTGATTCAATTCAATATGGCTGATGCCCAGTTTTCATGTAAAAGCGCTAAATCGTCATTTTTACATGTCCGGAGTTGTTTCTCAGAGATGACTAGGCCGATTTGGATCAAAGTTGGTATGGTGATCATACATATTGGGTTTCAGGTGCACGTAATATTTTTTTCGTGATGCAAACAAATACGGCCGACAGGCGGCCATTTTGTTTTTCATGGTACCCATGCTACTTTCTCTTGAATGCAATGAACGTTTCTCTTTATATTTTGTACAAAGATAGTATACCAAGGGATACATGCGCACCAACATTATTTTTGTGATTCAATTCATTATGACTGGCTGACGCTCAATTTTCATGTAAAAGCACTATAAATCATCATTTTTACATGTCCGAGGCTGTTTCTCAGAGATGACTTGGCCAATTTAGATCAAAGTTGTATGATGATCATACATATTGGGTTATAGTTGCATGTCATATTTTTTCTGTGATTCAAACTAATATGGCTGACTGGTGGCAATTTTGTTTTTCATGATACCCATGCCTACTTTCCCATGAATGTAATGAACATTTCTGTTTAAATTTAAATAACATGAACATTATTTTTGTAATTTGATTCAATATGACTGCCTAATGTCCAATTCTCGTGTAAAAGCACTAAATCATAATTTTTTACAAATCCATCTCCTATTAATGGTTTCAATCTAATCTCAATACTTCATCAGCATCAAATTGATATGTCCGATCACAAAATTTTGGGTGGGGACTGTGTCATTAACAATGACTTGTTCCATTTAGGAATAAATATTATTCCAACCACCAGGTAGAATATGTATTGGTGTAATTGTGGCTTGAGTTCATTTGAGTAGCCCTGCATATCAAGAACATTATTTAAATATAAATTAAACATACATTGATATGGAAAGTGCTCAGTAGCCACTAGTGTCTATGGTCTATTAGAATATTTACCATGTACAATTATACTGTAACAATACATTGACCAGAGCAGTTGATACATGTGATATAAATTTTATTCTTGTAATAATTTTAAAGCTAATACTACATTATTCAACTTGTTACTATTTTAACCAGTTGTCACAAATGCCTGTATTACTTTGACACCACAGTGTTGTTAGGATCACCAATAATTGCTTCGGCTTTTTAGTGGTGACACAAATAGTTAATAAAATGATGTAGTAAATTCATTACAATATGTCATATATATATATATATATATATATATAT